GAAAGTTTTATCTTAATCATGCGACTTGGAGGTGATCACATACCATGTTTCAATTTTATTCTAATAATTGTGTTTCTTTTGTTAACTAGTACGAAGAAAGATAATATAGAAAATGGTAGCTGAACCTGTTCAAGCGACCTGGAAAACGCTAAATTATTATTATAATAAGACTTCCGATTTTGTTGCCACCCAACATGATAAGGTAGTGAATTCAGAATATTTTGAAAGACTACCCGAATTGAATCCATTTTCAACTAGCAAACCAGATCCGAAGCTCATAACAAGAAGGCCACCTCAGTCAGTATATGCTAAGTTATCAGATCACGTTTGTAAAAACAAGATACAATATCTATCATTATTTTCGATTGGAATCGGAGCTGGTTCATATTATTACTATAACAATATTTATAAATCTACACAGCTACAGAAGTCCACAAAGCTTAAAAGAAGAGTACCAAAGTTGGCAAATGGGGCAAGACGAGATGTTGTTTTAATTGTGGGGTCTCCTACCGAACCGTTAACTAGATTAATTGCATTAGATTTTGAAAAGCGTGGGTTTATTGTCTACTTAACTATATTAGATGAAAAAGATTTCAAATACATTGAGTCTAACCAAATTACTGAAGACATAAACTATTTAAACTTGAATGAATCGTATAGTTTTGAAGTCCAAATCAGCAAATTCAGGCAACTGTTAGAAATACCAGTGGTTCCATTTCCTGGGGCTGATTCGCATTATTTAAGATTGACCAGTGTGATATTCGCCCCGAGCTTATATTTTCCTATTGGTCCAATCGAGAACATAACTGTTGCATCATGGAATAAGATGAATGAAAGATTTTCTACTTATCTTAAATTGTTTTCTTCGGGGTTAGTGAATTTGATTCGTAGTCAACAGAGTAAGATAATATTAATTAACGCAAACATTATAAGCTCTTTGGATATGCCATATCACGCACCTGAAACAATATTTCTGAATAGCGTCAGACACTTATTCACTGCGCTTACTAGGGAATTGGCTCAGCATGATATATCTGTGACTCAAATTCGTTTGGGGAATTTGAATATATCTAATCAGGATTGTGCGTCTGAATCAAAAATTGCAACTATTGTTAACTCCGAGATTAGGAGTTGGAACGAAGACATTAAGGATTTATATGCTTCTAACTTTTCAAGCTCTCAGTACAAAGCCAACCCTATCAAATCTACAGGAAGAGGTACCAGCCTAAGGCAATTATATCATTTGATGTTCGATTTAATCTACGCTAAATATAAGAATCCAACAGTAGTATATTGTGGAACTGGTGCTCGAATTTATGATTGGGTTTCGAAGGTTATACCAGAAAGCTTTCTTGCATGGTTTTTGACGTAGACATGATTACTTTGGGGATTTAATAGTATATATTTGGTCATTATTGTTGTAGTTAAATAGTTTTGTTAGGGTTCCAAAATATATGGTATACGCACACCACCTGGATTTCGGTATAAAAGAACAGAAAATTTTCACCTCTCGATGGTCAAGTAGCTTCTTTACGTTCATGGGCAAAGATTCGTTTTCGAAGCTTACAAAAGGACTCAGGTAGTCATTAATGCTTTGGGGAAAGTCTCCCGCCACATATGCGGAAACGTAACAAATTCATCCATTTGTTTGAATCTATAGTAGATTGAATGCTTGATATTAATTGGATGGTTGTTTGTTTTCCTTGTTAGTTCATTTTGAACTTCACTGTTCTCATTGAGGACAGCTCTGACATTCGAGAACTTGTCATGCTATTCATGTTGCTTATCTTGCTATATTTGATTTTATTATGGATTTATCCTGCCCATCAAGTTTATCCTGGTGGTGTTTCTTTGAATTTCGGCAATGGGATGTTGATTCCTAAACGATAGTTATAACGAATGATTATCATTTGGTAATTAACCCAATGGAGCTTATTCTTGAACCATGAACGTCCCCTATTATTTCAAAGCTTGATGTCTAATTGCAAATTCAATTGAGATATTCGCATAGTCAAATATGCCAGGCTTCTCAGTCAAGGGGAATAAAATACTTCAGTTGAAGTAGGGTATTGTATAGTTTTTAGAGTTCTTACTATTTATTCAAATTTTTTGAGGTATTCAGACCATTTAGTTACATTCAAGATTTTGTTTTCCAATGATGAAACATCCAAGCAAACATAGAGTCAAGCTCTGAGATTATTTCACTGTCTGGAAAGATGACAGGTTATCAATCATGGACGAGAGTTGCAAAATTTCTGATACAATATCTTGAATCTAATTAATGTTGGTTCGATCTTCAGAATACTTGAATATCTTAGATAATTCTAACTATTACATGGTACTCTTTATTTTATAAATTTAAATACAATAGTATAACTGAATAGTAAGTTAAACACGAAACGAAAGATTATTAAAAATACAAATAAATTAGTAGAATTAAACTTACTTAAACTAAATTAAGTATAGGTACAATATTAAAAGAGCAACACAAAATTATCACAATAAATCAAACCAATCCATATAATACAGATGCCAAGCATATTATTCAACTTTCCAATGACTTGTTAAAGCAGTTCTGCCGGAATTACTGTCGTTGCCCAGTAATTCGGCGGTATATAGCAATAATGTAGTAGCCATATTGACCCAATTCCAAAATTGCCATGGATGCACTATTACCAGAATGTCTGAGTTAGGATTCCACCAACCCCAAATTTTCAATTCGGTTCCCAATTCACCTTTGTACAGCATCATTAAATGTGTATAGACTGCAATCACAATACAAGGCGAATAAGAGTAGATTAACTTGATAATAGTTGAACGAGGTTCACGCTTTCTGCCAAATGAGTTTCTCGTGAATGTAGATTGGGAGTGTGATAATGGCTGGATTTCAGTTGTGTCTATAACCTCTTCACTATTTATTTCATGTTTGTTACTATGACGATGATTCGAGGAGATTTTTTTGGAGCTAGAGGTGAGTTGACTTAAGCTTGATATGTTTGTTGATGAAGGACGGGGAGATCTATTCTGAGAAGGTGTTCTTGGTGGAGTGTTAAAAGGATATGAGGCATCATGGTACAAAGAAGGAATAATTTTAGTAGCAGCATAAAAGACACCAATTCTATAAGCCAAATTAAGCAATAAAGGTAACGGAACTTTATGGATTGACGTGATTAAAAATTCCCAAATAGCCTTGAAGGAGCCTGGTAAGTTGGAAGCTAAGAATGGTAATAATTGCAGTACTGTGTTCGTTATCTGTGGGGGCAATTTAGGGATTTCATTCCGTAAGTTGAATGTTGTTTGAGTGAATATGGAAGTTAAAGTTTTACTTGCATCTTCTGATAATATGGGGAACGTTTCATAAATACAACGTACAATGTAGGCAAACAAAAGCGCAGATTCAATCATCGAACCCTTACCCGAAACGATTCCAAAGAGCCCTAACCCAGCTGTCAATGTTAATAATGAACCTAAAAGCGATGCACTGATCATATCGATAGTAAATGGGAAAACATAAATTCTGTACAAAAAATACAAGGCTGCAGTGATGGTTGAGCCACTTGCAATAAGTGAAACAATCAACCAACTATCAGACTTATACACAGTAAGCCAGTTCACGGTCTCACCAATAGCCTGAATCAATAATAAAGAACAGAAACCTTCCAAAATGGTAAAAATGGGAGTTGAATTGATAATAAAGTAACGCCAAATTTCATGAGGATGATAAGCAGTCAGAGACGCCGGTTGATTCGTGCGATAATAAGACAAAAATAATGTCAACAAACTAGGAATGATAATATGTTGTAAGTAATATAAGAGTGAAACCCAGCCGAAATATCGGCTTTTTCTAGTCACAATCCTGATAGTGGTCAATACAAAATATAAAGCAAACGTCGTGAAAGAGAAGGCCAATCCACATGTTATGCCTCCAACGTCAAAAGATAATGGTATTGACAATATTATGAGTGCCAAATACACTGTGGACAATACCGCTCGAAGCACTCGAAATGTCCTAACCTGGATACGGTTCATACTTTCTCGCATTCTAACCAATCCAATATACTAAGAATTCAAAAATGTAGCAACAGCTTATATGTTTTTACTGATTATAATACTATTTCACTTATCTTCATAAAGTCTGGGAAAATTTATTCGTTCGATTCAAAACTTTGTCAACAATCCTGAAAATCCTGCAATGAACCAAACCACTTAAAGGAGCTTTAAATATTCACTTATTATTATAAATCCGCTGTTAAAAATTAACTATATTAACTGCTTAATTCAATTTAAAAAGAACAGTGTTGGATTTAAATCTTATGGGTATTATATCTATATGGTGAAAACTTCAGTCAATTATGTTTCTATTGTAGTCGCGGTGCGAAGATGAAAGCTATGGGAATTTGGGATTGTTTATCACTGTCCTAGAACTCTTATACAACGAAAGTATAGTTCTCTGAATGTTCCTTAAGAGAGTCACCTATACGCTAAGTTGTATTAGAAAGAAACTAGTGTTATTGGTATATAGTAAAAGTACTAAATAATACCACACGACCAAATCAAAAATCCGGTGTTTGGATGTTTAATACACAGTAGGATATGCAGGAACAGGCCATATATACTGAAAAAAACTGTAGTATAGGAATAGATGAGCTAAGAAGAGGTGGATATTAGCGATGCCAGCCCCATACAAGCGTAAGAAGCACTCAGGAAAGAGACCAGAAGATGGTCATGAGTCCAAGAGACCCAAACAGAAACATGGAAGACAGGAAATGAGAACAATTACGAGAACAGCTAGAAGAGAACGTCGCGATGAGGATGAAGATGATGATGAGCAAGATGAGGAAAATGTGAACCAGGTGTTGGAAAGCCAAGAAGAAGATCTTGATGACGAAGAAGGTGGTGAAGATGATAAAGGAAAAGCATACGAGGCATTATTGACGTTATTGAATAGTGATCACCAGGAGCGGACGAAGAAAGATACTAGTCCACCAGAGAAGACTCAAGAGACAGACAGCGAGAGCGAAGAAGATTCTGGGGACGATGAAATTGCAGGTGCTAATGTAGATGAAGACAAGGATATCGATGAAGAAGGCCCGGAGGAAGACGACGGAGATGATGATGAGCAAGATCCGTTCGAGGTTCATTTCAATAAAGTCGGCGACTCGTACATCGATGAGCAAGAAAAAATGTTGAAAGATAAGCCAAAATGGACGTTTACGGATAAAAAAAGCTTGGATGATGCGGGATATACATATACTTTGCAAGTTCCACCTAATCCTATAAAGACCGGTAGCAAGGTCAAAGGTGATAGTGTCGAGAAATATAGCATTAAACATAGACTCGTGAGCCCATTTGAGACTCACCACCCCGAGCCTCTTAATGAGTTAGAAGGCGTCTTGTTGGATTCAATGGTAAAATATCAGGATGTAAGTTATGCTTATAGGTCATTTAACAACGACTCATACAAGAAGCTTTACCTTTTGCATGCATTGAACCATATTTTTAAGACTAGAGACCGTATATTGAAGAATAACAATAAGTTGCATTCATACCAAGAATCAGTCAAGCAGGGAAAGACTAACATTGACGAACCAGAACTCAGAGATCAAGGCTTCACCCGTCCCAAGGTATTAATTTTGCTTCCTACTAGAAATGCATGCTACGAAGTTGTTGAATTATTAATTAAGTTATGTGGCTCTGAACAACAGGAAAATAAGAAAAAATTCAACAAGCAGTTCTTCAGTAAGGAAACACCTCCAGAATCTAAACCGGAAGATTTTCAATATTCATTTAAGGGAAATAATAATGATTTTTTCTGTATTGGATTGAAATTTACCAGAAAATCCCTCAAGCTTTATTCATCATTTTACTCGTCTGATATTATAATTGCATCGCCTATCGGGCTCTCTATGATTTTGGAAAATCCAGACAAGAAAAAGAGACAATATGATTTCTTATCATCTATTGAGGTTTTAGTTGTGGATCAGGCTAATCAAATAGAAATGCAAAATTGGGATCACGTCAATACAGTCTTCAAATATTTGAACAAAATTCCTAAGGACTTTCATGATGCAGACTTCTCAAGAATTAGAATGTGGTCTATTAATGACCAGGCAAATTTATTGAGACAGAATTTGGTGTTCAGTGAATTTTCCACCCCAAATATCAACAATATCATAAGTTCAAAATCACTGAATTTATCTGGAAAACTCAGATTTAAGCCGATAACTACATCTAAGACATGTATCATGAATTCGATTGGATTAAAGTTGAAGCAAATTTTCCAGAGATTCGAAAGCTCTTCTCCAATGACTGATCCAGAATCAAGATTTAAGTACTTCATAAATTCTGTTCTTCCTTCGTTGACAAAATCCACCTCATACGACGACGGCTTGTTGATTTTCATCCCATCATATTACGACTATTTAAGGATCAAAAATTACATGAAAACATCTACTAAATTCACATTTGCCTCAATTGACGAATATACTTCCCAATCCAAGTTATCTAGAAATAGACAGCAATTTGCATCGGGAAAAATTAAGATAATGCTCTATACCGAGAGATTGCATCACTTCCGTAGATTTGAAATCAACGGCGTTAAGAATCTCTTAATGTATGGTCTTCCATCGAATCCAATTTTTTACAAGGAGTTGGTTAGATTTATCGGTAAATCTGTGTTTAGAGAAATCGCTGATTTAGATTTGTCGTTTATCAAAATCCTTTATTCTAAATGGGATGCCGTTGCCCTTGAAAGAGTTGTTGGTAATGAAAGAGCGCCAGTATTGTGCAACTCTGTCAATGAAATGTATGAATTCAGATAGTTTATTTAGATAATAGTTGCTATATCCCTAATATACAAGTAATTATAATAATTTAATAATTAATAATTATGTCTAAGATCTTAAAACGTTAAATGCCATGACAAAACATCCAATGGCAACGTATGGACTTAATCTTTCACCAATTCTAGCAAACTTCCAAAATACTCCAAAAGCACCAGTCTTGTTCTTATCTAAAATAACTGGCCATGTAGCATGAATATATGTACATGTACAAATCAACAATAATATCACTTGTAATAAAGACTGAAAATTAAATAAAGCAGACTATTAGGTTAGTATATATTCAAACTTCCTTGCATGTATCTCTCCATATATTAGAACATACCATTGTATATTAATTTGTATGAATAGAATATAGAATTGGTTCTTCGAAGAATTAAGTTTACATAGAACACCATCATTTCGAAGTTACACAAAACCAAGACGGCCTAGCATCACTGAATGAAGACACATTGAACCGATTACCATTATATCCGCCATAGACGATGAAGTTGATAGTAACGCCAATTATATTATAACATCCATTTATTTTGACCTACAAGAAGAATATCCTTGTTTGATTAAAACTTGAAATTCCTTAAAATAATTTTGTTTAAACCAGATTCATATTCCCCCCTGAATATGAGTGAAGTTTTAGACGATCCGTTCCAAATGGACGAAGAACTACCTAATTATAAAGAAAAGGATAACGTACAAGAGGATATAACTCCCAGATATGACGATAACGATATAACGAATGACCCAAGTATAATGAATTCAGACAAGATGTTTATACGATCAAAGCTAGACCAATTTAAGATAAACGAAGAAAGTAATAATAACACAGGAGACGACGAACCGTCGTATGAAGAGGATATTGACGATAAGTTTGACGGAACTTTTGAGCCGAAAGAGACCCAAGGAAACAGTGATTTTACCGACCTGATTACTGAATTGACACCACCTGAAAACTTTGCACCAGTGATTAACAAGATATACCGGTCCTCGTTCCCACAGCCGTGTAATTTTCCATTTGTAAAGAAGTTGAAATTGAAATCCATTCTTTGTCTTATACCCGAAGATTATCCAGAGGAGCATGAACAGTTTTTGGATAAGGAAAATATAAAACTCTTTCGACTCGGGATGTCGGGGAATAAGGAGCCATTCGTAAAGATATCACATACTCTTATAACAGAGGCGATAAAAATAGTACTTAATCCTGCCAACCAACCTATTTTGATTCATTGTAACAGAGGAAAACATCGGACGGGGTGTCTTGTAGGAGTATTGCGCAGATTACAAAAATGGTCGCTTACAATAATCTTTGATGAATATCGAAAATTCGCTGCTCCTAAGGAAAGGCCAATGGACCAGCAATTTATCGAACTCTATAACGAGACTGAATTAGAAGAGTATGCCAAAGAAAATGGACTTCTACCAATCCCGTGGGAATGACCCCACTGTACTGCTAGTTTCAAAAGACTTCATATTTTTATATACCTATAGATAGATTTAATGCCAAAAGAATTGCTTACCGTACATTCCAACGTTTCCAAGTGCCAATACACTTAAACCAATTGGGTTCAATCTTCCTAAAGCCAAACTTTTGACACTTGCAGTCCCGTTGACAATCAAGTATAGCGTTGACCATGCGAAGTTGAAACCTGCACCATTAGCAAGATCCCCATCGTAGATAATCCATCCCCCAAGCAAGTGGGCAGCACCAAAAGTGAAGCATGATAATCTTGATGGCTTCGAAACCGATAGCCATTGACTAAATTTGGCTGATCCTCCAGACGTTCCAGTGGAGTTAGCAATTGGCTTGTGCGACGTGACACCTTTATAGAGAAGCAACGCTGAAAAAGCCCATGCTGGGTATGGTGTCTTGGGTAATTCGTTGGCTGATTGAGCCAATCCCTCAATGTTTAATGTATGTCCTCCTCCCATGCTTGAATATTTGCTTCTTTGACCTAATTTGTTGATAATGGTCTATTCTTCCTATCACTTGCTGACACTCCACTTATTAATATGACTTGGCGTGTCATAACCGTATTTCATGCCATTCACGATACCATTACTATCTACAAGTCTTATACATACGATCCTATGTAATTCACAAACACAATCGTCCTAGAGGATCATGTCGCCCATATTTACATTGGTTATTTCATATTAAACATTTATTCAATAAAACACATACTAATATACAAAAAGTAAAGCTTAGGCGCACCTAAGATCTTTCACCTCTTAATCTTCTGGCTAATTGGATATCCTTCTTTTGGATAGTAACTCTCTTAGCGTGGATAGCACATAAGTTAGTATCTTCGAATAAAGAAACTAAGTAAGCTTCAACGGATTCTTGTAAAGCACCAATGGCAGAAGATTGGAATCTCAAGTCGGTCTTGAAGTCTTGAGCGATTTCTCTGACCAATCTTTGGAATGGTAACTTTCTGATCAATAATTCAGTAGACTTTTGGAATCTTCTGATTTCTCTTAAAGCAACAGTACCTGGCTTATATCTGTGAGGCTTCTTGACACCACCGGTAGATGGAGCAGACTTTCTAGCAGCCTTGGAGGCTAATTGTTTTCTTGGGGCTTTACCACCAGTGGATTTTCTAGCTGTTTGTTTAGTTCTAGCCATTGTTAATGATTTAGAATGATATAAAATATGATATATCTAAAAACCTGTAGTCGGTGATTTCAAGGTCTTTAAATACTTTATCTGAAGAACTTTTCTCTCGCGCAACCAAAACATATCAACACGAATCCTCCGGAAGAGATTCCTATCAATAAGCCTACTAAATCGATAAATAATACTTCCGACACGCTGAGAAGACGATGGACGCGATGCTTCCTTTGTTTACTTTGCTTGTCTGGGGGTGAAAGTCGCCTAAAACCAATACTGCCATTTACTCGACTCAATGTGTAAAAATTAGTATGGGATAAAACGGCCTTTTGACCGCGACTAGAGACGCTTTGATGATGATGATGAAATGTAAACAAACAATCTAGCCATAAATAAATAAACATGACATCTGAATGTACCACGAAATAAAGTTAGTCGATATGGTATAAATATAGAGCGATCCGTACTTCGAATAAAACTTAATTTGGAAGAATCATTAAGATTAGTTATTCTATTTCTTTGTAAATTTTAAAAACTAACAAATAATAATTAACAATGTCCGGTAGAGGAAAAGGTGGAAAAGGTTTAGGAAAAGGTGGTGCTAAGCGTCACAGAAAGATCTTGAGAGATAACATTCAAGGTATCACCAAGCCAGCTATCAGAAGATTGGCCAGAAGAGGTGGTGTTAAGCGTATTTCCGGTTTGATTTACGAAGAAGTCAGAGGTGTCTTAAAGACCTTCTTAGAAAACGTTATCAGAGACGCTGTCACCTATACCGAACACGCCAAGAGAAAGACCGTTACTTCATTAGATGTCGTTTACGCCTTGAAGAGACAAGGTAGAACCTTATATGGTTTCGGTGGTTAAGGTGCTTGACTGCTACAATGTATTTCTAGTTCTGTTCAGTGTATATTAGAATCAATATTATGTTATCTATAAAAAGCGAAATTGTAGATTAATTGAAATTTAGTAGCTGTTCGGCAACATTACTTTGCCCTAGAGTTCCGCCAGTTGCGAGAAAATTGTTTAGACGACGTTCGATCTGATCTTCCCAGAAATCCACATCGACTGGCTTAGGAGGAATGTATTTGTCGCTGGTGATGTCAGCCCATGATTTGACACACGAGGAAGGCGAGTCTTCGATGTCCTTTGCCTTGGGGCATCTACATCTACACCCAATTCCATTTGGACGAGGGCCATCAGGAGAGAGCCACGCTTGGTCCTCCTTCAAATCCTTAAGGTAATATTTTTCGCTAGGTTGATACTTTACCTGGTATCTTTTTGAGTTCCCAGGACAATGGCTCATCGCAGAGTGTTGATAGCCGATATCACGGAAATAATGAATGTCTTTGAGGTCGAGCAACATTCCTACTGCAAGGGAATGTACAGGTGCATCACCCCATCGTTCTTTATAAAAACCTCCGCTCTTTTCTAAGTGTTCAAAATAAGCTTCGTATGCTGGAGAATTGAACAAATCTGTTCTAGCAATTTCGAAATTCGACCAGAAATGGCACATGTTGTACTCTTCTAAATCAAATCTATCTTCATACAATTCAGGTTTTTTTCTAGACTTCTCGACTACTAAATCCAACAACAGCAGATCGTACTTGGAAATTTGTTCATCTGTTTTTTCTTTCATAGATAAAAATTTCTTGACTGTAATATTTTCTTCTATTGCTTGTAATATATCAGCCTTTGATTTCAAACCATCATAGTTGGCCGCATTTTTACCTACCGCATACTTATAATCTTTGATAAATAAGCTCCACGCATTGCCTAACAGAACACCATGTTTCCTTATAAATGACCTTGTTTCTTTAAACAACCCCGGAATCGTATAATATAATTCTCCAATAAGAACATTAAAACCATACTTCTTATTATGCTTTTCCATCTCTATAAACGGATCGTATGTCAAGTCACAGAAGAATTCAACATCAGGCTCTACTCTCCAGTACCAATCTCGTTTTTTTACCAACTCGTGTTTGTAAAAATAGCCTGAGAAGAATCTACACATTTTATGATAAGATTCAGAGTTTCCGTACATGATTCTTCGATCACCCTGATTGGCAATATGCTCGTGTAATTCGTCCTTGTCTATTTTGTCACTAAAATTCCACTTTTTCTTCGGAATAGTACCAAACTCTATTTTAGAAGACGTATACTTTGAAACTGATTTCTTAAATTCTTTGCTGAATGGCTCATCGTTTAAGAATACCCATGGATAATTAAACCATTGGTTGAAATGCCTTTCCATTGACTTCATAGATTTGATTACCTGTTTAACTTCGGAATTCCTTGCCAATATAACAAGAGCTGCATTGGCCCGTTTCTGATTTGTATGTGGTTCCCGACATCCAATTTGAAAAGGTGAGTCTATTTCAGACGATATCTTTGTTTGACTTATGAAGTCACCGGTGTCTTCTTCTTGTAGATCTTGTTCGACTGTGAGGGTATCGACATCAGTTTTATTATAACTATTTGCTCCAAGAAAGCTCGTTTTGAGGCAGTAGTACACAATTAATATAACCACAAGAGATATGAACCATATTCCTTTCGATCTTTTAGATAAACGTATTTGCCTTGGTGTGCGTACTATCGACTTGATATTCCTAAGCCTTGCCTCGGTGAATGAAATTTCATCATAATCATCGTCGTCATCTGAATAATCATAATCTGAGTGGGATGTATCATATCTTTCCACACCATCACTGATGGGCCTCTGATCGTTCTTATGTATCCCCTGCATCAGATCAAAAGATCGCGTATATCTATAATTTGTTAAATTCGTCGAATAAGCTGTAAGCTAAAGTAACTAAGAATATATTCGACGACTTCCAAGTAGTTCTCAGTTACAAACTAATAGCTCTTATTTACACCTAGAGTCGTTATTATGAAATAAAAACTACTAATTACAAGAAGAAAAGATAAATTCAAACATTTAACGCACGATGTAAGCGAAAAAACCCATTGACACCACATATATGTTACAAACCGATTCAACACCTATTTAGCCTATATACAAACATTGCTGTGGAATTTACCATCAAAACAACAAGCTCGTCTTTAAAGGTTATAAATTCATAAAATGTAAATAGTAGTTCTAATAGACTTAATTAGTTGAAATCAAGTATGTTCATTTGATTGATTTGGTACGTTGGTTTTCGAGTATATAAGCTCCGGTTCTACATTGTAAAGATTTCATTGTGTCGATATGTTAGAAATTACCAATTTTAAAAGCATTCAATGATTATATTACTTGAAATGAAAATACTAATTACAAAGAGTCTATGAATAAATATATATTGATAAAGGTTCGGCACGCGTGGAAGAATTGAACAGAAATGTATGCATATATGAGGAAATAGGTTATTTTTCCTTTTTTACAATTGCATTTCGTAATAATGTCAAATCATCATTCAATTCCTCGGGCTTTAAACCCTGTAACCCTGTGAATTGTTTGTTTAGTCCTCGGGTATTGGGTTTATTAGAGTTTGCATGTGTATTGTCAAGTAGCACCAATGAGACTCCGCCGTCTTCGTTGCCCATGATCAATGTATTCAATGCGTCGTAGTCCTTGTCACTCAAATTACTTTCATTTCCACTGCCTGCCGCATTGTTTTGGAGGTTACTGTGACCATTACCGCTATTATTCTTATTGCTAGCAGCTGTACTAGTGATTCCAGATGACATTTCATCGTTTGATGAGTACCTCGTGGCATAATGTCTTCTTCGTTTTCCTGACAGAGATATATATCCATTAGCCATCGACAAGTTTCCTGTGGTTGTAGAACCAGCACCCCCATCCGACAAATCATCTGCTTCACCAGCAGTGAGCCTAGAGCTCAATTCCCTTTTTCTAAGCGATCGTCTATCTGCAAGGTTCAATGTATTGGCGGCCACTGCGTTCAATGCTGCCGTAGATGAATCGTTAGCCGTATTTGAGCTCCATGAGTTCGCATTAACTAAATTAAGTAATAATTTATCCTCTTTCAATTGTTTTATCTGCTTCTGGAGCTTATCGTATAATTTTTCTTTGATCAATTTGATCATCTTATCGTGGTTTTCCTGAGCTTTGGTCAAATCCTCCTTATATTCTTCTTCGATTCTCTTCACTTGGTACTCTTCCCAAAGCCTAAGTCTTGTCAACTCATAATCACGCTCTTCTTCTAAGTTTTCCTTCTTATCCAAATATTCTTCGTTAACGCCTTGCTGTAGGGTCGCTAGTGTGTTCTGTAAGTTGTGAAGCAGTGTCTTGTAGAAGTTGTCTCTGTCACTACTGAACATGACATCTAGCTTGCCCAATCGGGAGCTTATTTGCTGGCGTTTTTTGTCTCTTTTACTTAAACCTGGTTCATTCGTTAGTATATCTTTTTTCTACTATGAACTTCGAAAGAAATAAAAATAATCACATACTATCGTTGAGAATCCCATTCCGTTTGTGGTCTTCCATCTTAAATCATATGTCAGCTCGGCCAGCCTTTATCTCTTGTCAATGACCTTCAAACTGTTATATCAACCGTGTTCTACCCTTGCTAAATTATGGGTTTCTTTATGGCTGATTGTTGATGGGGAGCATCACCAGTAACATTATCTCCGGGTAACCCTGTGAGTTTTTCAGTCCCGATCGCTTCCTATGACGTTTTAGTAATAAACACCAATAAGTGCAATATCAAACAGACCCACACCGTGAACACATCATGACAGTAGAAAAAGAGACTTACGAGAGGTTGAAGGATTTACCTTTCGCCACACAAGGGCAGAAAAACACCCCAAAAATTACTCAACCAATTACTTTTTCCCTTGCAAAGGACCCTACTGGTAAAGTGACATTATTTCCCATCCACGACGCCAGCCAAGTCCCCAAAACCTTGCTCAAGGTGATCCAGCACGAAATCAACTATGTCATCGAAGAGGGTGCCACTTACCCGTACCATGAAACCATGGACCTCGATGAATTTGTCCTGTACTGGTTTTCCGCGTTCGTAGCCGTTCTCATCGATGGTGACCACCAATCGTTATCAGATGCCGACTTGCAGGACAAACTGGAAGCATTTTGGAAAACGCACTTTTTGGGAACGTTCTACGTCAAGCCTAATTACACGGGAAGATGCTCGCATGTCTGCAATGCTGGATTTGTAGTCAACCATGAGAAAAGAGGTTTGGGGTTGGGCAAGGAAATGGGTGCCAAATACTTAATATGGGGTCCCCAATTGGGATATGTGTATTCGGTATTCAATTTGGTATTTGAAACCAATGTAGCAAGTTTGCGAATCTGGGACTCACTTGGGTTTGATCGCATTGGCTACGTCAAGAACGTGGCCGTGTTAAAGGGCCAGAACAACCTAGTGGGAGCATATATGTACGGTAAGGACCTTGTATAGAGTAGCATGGCGCGACATTTGTGATTTCACGACATTGTCCTAATTGGGTGATTGTGACACAAAACGCCTTTCTGAGCATCACTCGTCATTTTCAGTTAATCATCAAACTACCATTTTGTTTACATTCTATAATATACACAGACAGTATAATATCTACACTAATATCATATACTACTTATAGGTTAATAGTAGATACAAGAGTTGGCGAAGTGTATAATAGATAGGCAATATGGCAGAGTTTGATGATGTGATGCAACCGCCACATTTTCGGCCTCAATTAGAATATAATCCAGTGACAGTTATTGATCGGTATACGGTTTTACTTAAAGATGGAGAGACTACGGCTACGATTTATCCGATGCATACGCCCAATGAGTTGCCACCAGGGTTGTTGGCGTTTCTTTGTGATGAATTCAACATGGAGATCGAACGGGGGGATACATTTCCGTTCTTTGACACGCTCCACATCGAGTCGTTTCAGAATTACTGGTTTGGGTCTTTTGCAGCTGTGATGGTGCTAGGAGATTCTCCGACACTCGAAGGGTCGAGACAATGGGAAAAGGAGTGTTTGGGGACGTTTTACGTCAAGCCTAATTATCCGGGACGGTGTTCGCATATATGTACGGCGGGATTTTTGGTTAATGCTGGGATCAGAGGCAAGGGAATAGGTCGAACGTTGGCCGATTGTTACTTGCAGTGGGCACCTCGGTTGGGGTATACGTACTCTATTTTCAACCTTGTGTTTGAGTCGAATGCGGCTGCAAGAAAGATCTGGGAATCGTTGAATTTCAAAAGAATCGGAAGAGTGAAATCAGCCGGTATTTTAAAGGGCCATGATACGGCAGTAGATGCTATTGTTTACGGTAGAGAGTTGATCAATAACTCGGACCCTGAAATAGGTGCATATAGGTTTGATAAGATCAAATTCTATTTGGAAACAGGTAGATATCCAGCAATGGCCGACAGACAAGAGAAATCTAGATTGAGGTCATCCGCATCCCACTATCGATTAGAAAACGGTAAGTTAATGTTGAAAGGAAGACAGGTCATAGCTGATCCTGTTAGACAATTGCAAATTTGCACTGAGGTACATATGACCAATCACGGAGGTATTAATAAGACAACAGCTGTTGTTACCGAAAAGTACCATTGGACGAGAATAAAAGATACTGTGGCTACAGCAATAAAAAATTGCCCAGAGTGTAGAGATCCTGCAAAGGACCCACCTCTACTCAAACGGAGTACGATTCCGAAGAAGATGGCAACTGGTAACTCTATCATTCGCAGGAACAATAAGGTATTGCATTCACAACCAAACAATCCAAATGCTCGTAATATTTTGAAATCAAGAAATAGTGCTGACGATGTTGATGCTATGGTTGCTGCTGCTCAACTACACAACTTACCAGGTCACCATCGTCATGACGCTACTGAGAGCTTGTTGACACACGATTTATCAGGTTTGGATGATGGAATTATTGCAGCCGTTGAGGCAGCGCAGAGATCTCAACAACAAGGACATTCAAATCATCAGCACCACCCAACTTATGCAGCTGCTGCAGCTGCGGCCGTTGCCGGCGATTCAAATCACTATCAACACTACCAAAATGAATATACTAACCATCATGAATATCACCAGGACTCTAATGATAATCAAGGTTACAGTAATAGCGGGAACTCTAAAGAAAGAAACAGGAATAATAACAATATACCTGTTGATCCTGAAGTGAGCGCGTTTGATCACCATGTTGATTCTGCGGGTGAAGAAATTGAAATTGCGAGAGCCTTAATTCAGGCTAATGAAGATGTTCAAGAAGATGGGCCACATCAAGAAGTAGATGAGTTACAGAATCAAAATTCGAATAATGACAATAACGAGAAGAATGGTGATCTGAAGAGAACTGATGATGAAACCAACATGTTTTCTAAAGACAATAATTGAGTGTATATTATGTAAACTATCTACGTATGAGTAGGATATAATATGGTATTTATGTATTAAATATAAAAATACTTATAAACAAACTATAATAGTAGAATCACATTATTCCCCCGAAAAATGCTATTTCAACTAAATAGTAACCAATATAGTCACTTCTAGAATTTTTTTTCCTTTTATAAATAGTATTGAACAAAAAAAATATAACTTTTTAACAAAATATTCATGAGTAGGTGTACAACAATTCCCCTATTGTTAAAACTCTCACTTAGAAATCAACTCCAATGACCATAGCTAATAATGCCATTCTAACGAATAACCCGTATCTCATTTGTCTGAAATATGCAGCTCTTTGGTCAAAGTCGACTTCTTCCCTAATTTCATTAGTTCTTGGTAATGGATGCATGACGCACATGTGCTGTTTAGCATAAGACAAAATCTTATTGTCAACAATGTATGTGTCCTTTAATCTCAAGTATTGTTCCTTATCTTCGAATCTTTCTTCTTGGACTCTGGTACAGTACAAGACATCAGACTTAGCAATGATTTCTGGAGTTAATACTTCAGACTCGAGAACTAACATATTATTGTCTTGTAACATCTTCTTAATATTTTCAGGCATGGATAATTCTTTTGGTGCAACCAATTGAACTCTGACTTGATAATGACGTAATAAGTGACATAAGGAATGAACTGGTCTACCGTACCTCAAATCACCCATAAATGTTACGGTAATACCATTCACAGTACCTAATTCTTCTCTGATGGTGAATAAATCTAATAATGCTTGAGTTGGGTGTTCTTTAGATCCGTTACCACCATTGATGATTGGAACAGGTGAGTATTTAGCAGCAATATCTACGGACTCTTCAGATGGATGTCTCAAGACGACCGCATCAGCATAACAGGCTAAAGTACGAATTGTATCTTGCAATGTTTCTCCTTTCTTAACTGAGGATGAAGATGATGCAATTGGAACTACCCTACCACCTAATCTTTGCATAGCTGCGTCAAATGATGCAGAAGTGCGAGTAGATGGTTCATAGAACATAGTAGCTAATAATCTACCCTTCAAGATGTCCAAGACACCTTGTCTTTCAACAGCTAATCTCATTTCTTGGGCGACTGTAAATAATGAATGTAAGTCAGAACGAGTGATATCTTTGACAGATAAGACAGAATTACGTAAGAAAGTATTATTCTTTCTGATGTAATTAATTAATGCGTTGTTTTCTCCGCCAATTGAACCAGCTGGAGGTTGAGAAACTAATTCAGAACCTAATTTTTCAAATTCAGCAGGGGTGGATGATTGGTCTCTAAGGAGAGATGGACGACGAGGTCCTTCATTAAAAGACATTCTAGCCTTTTTATTACCCAAAGCAGGCGACTGAGGAATACTAGTGACAGATCCAAATCTGGCTCTGGATTCAACTCCGTTTTGGCCCAAAGCATGTACAGCCAAAATTTCGCCACCTAAACAAACAGTTTCATTATGGAAGGAAACACGGTTAACAGCACCTTGTAAATTGGCCTTAGCGGTAGCCAATATTTCAGAATCGTTTGCAGAAGCAGCTAATCTATCTATGTCAAATTCAACTGAAGATTCTTGTTTAGGGATGTTGAAAATTCTGACAGGATTATCATGGAAACGTTGGACTATATCCTGAGTTGTAAGACGACCCTCCTTGACGGCATTGAATAACAATGGCAAAGTTTCTTTAGTACCTAAGCCAGGAGAATACTTCTTGTTGAGAGCCTTGCTTACTAAGAATGGTAAGACACCGATAGAGAAACAGTCAATGTCTTCTAAACCACTCCATAATGCATTTTGGTCATCCTTAGTTGGCAAGAAGCTTAATTGTGGGAATTCATCTTGTGATAAGAATAATGCATAAACAGAAACATCACAAGTAACCTTTAAATTCTTTTCCTTGGCCATTCTGATTAAGCCCAAGTCTTCTCTTGAAGAAACGCCAGTAATATGAATTGATCTAGAGTATAAAGAAGCCAACAATAATACCGATGCTAAATCGGTTGTTTTAGCATCAGTGATAATTGGTTTGGTTTCTGGCCATAACGAGAAGTGTGATGAAATGGCTGAGACCTTAGACTTATTGAATTCGTTGAAAGGAATAAATAAGGCCCCTGCATTCTCAGCGGCTTGCGCAGCTTCTTCTGCATTTGTTTCAGAAGCAGCAATTGATAATGAGAAATCAGTGTAAGCAGAACTTGTTGCCGATTCAATTGCATCGGCTAATGTTTCGATGTTGGAAACAGTTGAACAATCCGAAGTTTGAGGTAAGAATGTATTGAATGTAAATCCGGAAACTAAGGATGCACGAGTTGTAGCTTCAAAATCATCAAATGAAGAAACAAATGAGTTGATATTAACTAAACCTGGAATAACAGCGGTTTTGTGAGAAGTTTGTGAATCAACGTCAGAAACAGTCAACGAGATATTTCTAGCGAGCGCTTCAACTAATAATTTTGCACATTTAACATTGGTAACTAATGGAATCGAATAGTCAACAGCCATACGACGAGATTCGTAACCCTTAGACATATAAGAAGCAGGACGACGGAATCTGTTTGAAGATGGTAAATTAACATACATGTCAATCAAGTTGTTGGCTAAATGTTGAGTCAAAGAGTATTCAGATTTTTGGTCCTCCTTATCACCCAAAACTTCCAAATAATGAACAGGAATTGAATGTTCCTTGATGAAATCTGCGGTACCCGCAGTAGCAAAAATCTTGTAACCTAATTCATGTAACTTTTTAATGGATGGTAACAATTCTTGCTTTTCTTTATAAGAACCAATAGAAAATAAGATATTCTTCTTTGGCAATTTGAAACCAGTAGAGATTAAGGATTTCAAATAAGCTTCATACTTATTCTTACCAAAAGTTGCAACTTCACCAGTTGAAGCCATTTCAACACCTAAAACAGGGTCAGCACCGGCAAGACGTGAGAAAGAGAATTGTGGAACCTTAACTGCACAATAATCTTCTGGTAATTTTTCACCTGGATATGGAGTGACTGGCATATCCATGATAGCTTTAGTGGCCATTTCAATTAAATCAGTTCCAACGACCTTAGAAATGAATGGGAAGGAACGAGATGCACGAACATTACATTCAATAACCTTAATATCATTATCTTTGGCGATGAATTGAATGTTGTAAGGACCGGTAATATCTAAAGCCTTACCAATCTTGGCTGTAGCTTCGACAATACGTCTAACAGTTTCTGGGTCTAAATCCTGAGGTGGTACAATCAAAGTAGCATCACCTGAGTGAACACCAGCATTTTCAACATGTTCAGAGACAACATGCATAATCATTTTACCATCTTTAGCAACTGCATCCATCTCAATTTCCTTCGCATTTTCAATATACTTTGTAATAACGACTGGATAATCTGGTGACACATCAACTGCTTGAGATAAATAAGAAGCCAAATCGTCTCTAGAGTAAACAGTATTCATAGCAGCACCTGATAAGACATAAGATGGACGAACCAAAACAGGATAAGTAACCTTTTCGGCGAACTCTTCTGCTTCGTCGATAGAGGTTAATTCCTTCCAGGCTGGCTGGTCAACACCAATTCTGTCCAACATTCTTGAGAATTTATATCTATTTTCAGCAGAGTCAATCATTTCTGGAGAGGTACCTAAAATCCTAACATTTTGACGGTATAATGGCAAGGCAATATTATTCGAAGTTTGACCACCCATAGAAATGACCACACCTGATGATTGTTCTAAATCGTAAATATCCAAGACTCTTTCCAAATTGATAGTTTCGAAGTATAATCTGTCAGCTTCATCGTAATCAGTTGAAACTGTTTCCGGATTATAGTTAACCATAATTGTCTTAGTTCCGTTTTCACGTAAAGTTCTAATAGCTCTAACTGCACACCAGTCGAATTCAACAGAAGAACCAATACGGTAGACACCTGAACCCAAGACAATAACACCGCGGTCATCAAATTTAACATCAGAAGAATCAGCATTATAAGTAATGTATAAGTAATTGGTGAAAGCTGGGAACTCAGCAGCAACAGTATCAATTTGCTTAACAAATGGAATGACACCAGCTTCTTTTCTCAATCTTCTAATTGCAACTTCATTGGAGTTCAAGAATTTTGCGATTTGTCTATCTTCGAAACCTAATTGTTTGGCTTGCTTTAAAACAGTGACAGGCAAATTTTCCTTAGCACCGTAAGAGGTGATTAACTCACCGAATTTAATTAAACCGTCTAATTTATGTAAGAACCACTTATCAATGTTAGTCAACTTCCAAACCTTATCGACAGAATAACCATCTGACAAAGCATTAGCAATGGCAAATAAACGTTGATCTGAAGGTGTTTGTAATTCACTATCAATATCGATTGACATTAAAGCAGAAGTTTCATTGAAACCCAAGTTTTGATAATCAGTCGATCTAATAGCCTTTTGAATGGCTTCTTCAAAAGTTCTACCAATGGACATAACCTCACCAACAGATTTCATTGAAGATGATAACAAGGAAGAAACTCTGGTAAATTTCTTTAAATCCCATCTAGGAATCTTGACAACAACGTAATCTAATGAAGGTTCGAAACATGCACAAGTAGACTTTGTAACAGAATTCTTGATTTCATTCAATGGAATGTTCAAACCTAACTTGGCTGCTGTATATGCCAATGGATAACCAGTAGCTTTAGAAGCTAAGGCTGATGAACGCGATAATCTAGCGTTAACTTCAATAATACAGTACTCCTTTGAGAAAGGATTCAAAGCATATTGAATATTACATTCACCAACAACACCTAAGTGTCTAATAACATTCACAGCTGTTGTTCTTAACATATTATAATCTTCATCAGATAAGGTTTGCGATGGAGCAACAACAATAGAGTCACCGGTATGAATACCCAAAGGATCGAAATTTTCCATATTACAAACGGTGATACAGTTATCGAAAGCATCACGAACAACTTCGTACTCAACTTCCTTCCATCCCTTCATAGATCTTTCAACTAAGACTTGAGGAGATGTTGCAAAGGCTTTGTTACATAAAGCAACTAATTCTTCTTCGTTATCAGCAAAACCTGAACCTAACCCACCTAATGCATAGGCAGCTCTAATAATCAATGGATAACCAATAGAATTGGCGGCGGCAACAGCTTCTTCGACATTATTAGCAGCTTCGGATTTGGCACACTTCTCATTGATTTCATCCATAGCTTTAGAGAATAATTCTCTATCTTCAGTAGTGATAACAGTATCAATAGGAGTACCTAAGACTTTAACACCTAATCCTTCAAATTCGTCCTTCAATTGAATACCAACCCCTAATGCAGTTTGACCACCGAAGGTACAGTAAATACCGTCTGGACGTTCGTGTTTGATAACCTTTCTAACGAAGTCAGCCGTAACTGGCAAAAAGTAAACTTTATCAGCTAAACCTTTCGAGGTTTGAATAGTTGCAATATTAGGGTTAATTAAGACGGTATAAATACCTTCTTCTTTTAAAGCTTTAATAGCTTGAGAACCGGAATAATCGAATTCACCAGCTTGACCGATGGATAAACCACCAGAACCCAAAACTAACACCTTTTTAACGTCAACCTTTGGATGAGCAGCTCTATTTTCTTCAATTAAACCACCTGGGAATTCAATGGCCTTTTGGACACCAGATTTATTAAAGTCAACCACTGATTGAATAAATACGTCGAACAAGAACTCGGTGTCTCTTGGTCCTGGGGTAGATTCAGGATGGAATTGAACTGAGAAGTAAGGCTTGGAGTCATGGTAGATACCTTCGTTGGAACCATCATTAGCATTAACAAATAATTCTTTCCAGCCAGAAGCTAATGAATCGGTGTCAACTGCATAACCATGGTTTTGGGATGTGATGTAACATCTACCGGAAATGGTCGAAGTACATGGAATATTGTGACCACGGTTACCGAATTTCAACTTCAAGGTTGATGCACCAGTTGCTCTAGCTAATAATTGATGACCTAAACAAATACCAAACACTGGAGTTTTACCAACTTCCAATACTTTTTGCAATGTTGAAACAGTGCTGGTCATGACAGATGGATCACCTGGACCATTGGAAATGAATAAACCATCATATTCTTCGGTGGAAAAATCATAATCCCATGGTACAACTTTTAATTCAACACCACGTCTGATGAAACAACGGATTTGGTTATATTTCATACCAACATCAACAGCTAAAATTCTGATTGGCTTACCATTCTTACCAATTTTAACATTATTCTTTGGAGTGTACAAGACTGGTTCTTTTGTTGAAACTTTGGCAACCAAATTTTTGACATTTGGATCATCCCATTCAGGAATTTCAAAATGTGCTTCCCAGTTCGAAGCTTTAATAACTTCAGCACTCTTGGAAGAAGACTTTTGTAAAGCCAATCTACCTAAAGTAGAACCCTTTTCTCTTAATCTTTTAGTCAAGGATCTGGTATCCACACCATAAATAGCAGGAATTCCTTGTTCTTGTAACCATTGACCTAAAGAAGACTTAGCCAAGAAATGAGAATACTCTTCGGTGTAATGGGCAACAACTAAACCAGCAATGTGGATTTTGTTGGATTCGAAGTACTTTGGTAATTCTGGAACGTCCTCATCTTTTAATGAACGATCTGGAACACCATAATTTCCGACTAATGGATAAGTGATAACCAAAATTTGACCCTCATAAGATGGATCAGTAATGGATTCTGGGTAACCAACCATACCAGTTTGGAAAACAACTTCACCAGCTGCTGCAACTGGAGCACCAAACGAGTAACCTTGCAAAGCAATACCATCTTGGGTTTGCAAAGTCATCATACGGTCACCTTTAGCCTTCATTGGTGGAGTAATTGGATTAGAGATTTGAGCCATTTCTCACTTGCTTTCTTACTTTTTCTTGAAATAGGTATTATCTAATTTATGAATTGATAATGAAATTAAAAATGTTTTGGGGAAATGCAGATAAAGTATTTTAATTGGGGGGGCTAAAATACTAGATTAACTTCAAAATAAGCAATAGATAGGCTAATGGTTAATAAAAGGGTTCCTGATAAAGATCGAAAAAAATCGAATTTTCATATCTCATCGCCGATCGTAAAATGACACAAAATCTTAGTCAAAACTATTATATTACATTTCCAATATGTGATCACATATCGATGTTGCCAAATATCAAGCATCTTTATAAAAATCTACTTGATACATGAACAAATGTTTAAATCAAAATTATAATCTCTCAACAATTAACGATTCGACAACTTCCAATCTTATGATTTCGTAAAAGAAGATTACTTACTTTAATGTCACACGAATAATAGTAACAATTAAATCAAGATTAGCAATTAAACTAGGGAATTGATGATTGTTGAGAGAGAGAGAAAGAGAGAGAGAGAGGAAGAAAGAACAAACAATAATATCTTACTCATTGGAGGCACGCTCGATTCCTTTTATAATATTTTTTTTTTGTTCGGACCCATCTCATCAAAAAAAATTTTCAGTATCGACCGTTTCCGGTAACCGAATCGTTCCACTCACTATTGATAAAATCATGTTTTTACCCTCGAAATCATCGTTGCGTCAACAGACTTGCATAACTTAGTACTAGGCTTTTTCTGTGAAGTTTGAGGGATAAGAAACGGTTGCGGTACAACAGTTACTCATAATTGCAGCTGTAGATGAAGTGACATAGGAATGTTTATTCATGCAAATTATGTGCCTGTCGAAAGTGAGTCAGAAAATATTGTAAATTCAAGTAACGATAGATACGAACGAAATGCAAATTTAAGATAGGTGGGAAGGTGGCGTAAAACAAAGTAGTATGTTTCGAATGTAAAAAAAATTTATTTATGTGAACATCCGATTTAAGTAGCTGAGACATGCATTCTTAATGTCTCTAACATCGATTGTTGGAAAATATCGAATTTGGTGGTGCAGAAACCTGATCTGCACTCATTTGTATAAGGCTTTTTAAGCTGCAAAATTGGGAACCTCATAGCCCAAAGAGCCATACTAATCAAGTATAGTTTATAAATTTAAAGAGACGTTAGGGTATGTACGTGCGAGAAATGCGTAATAGTGAGTAATATAAGCGTAGATAAGGGAGGTGGCTAATATAAAATACATCCGGGATTAAAGTCAAGGATTAGCGTGAAATAATAGACCAGAATACGCATTTACAGAAGTACCTTCGAAGATAATAATAAAGAGAATATTAGACTGTAGATAGGGCGAAGTCTATTTTTATATGCTTATATTTAATTATGTGGCTTTGGAACATTTATATGTAGCCAGCGGAGGCAGCGCTCCGAGATTGAAAAGAACAATGCTGTGGATCCTAGAAAAAGATTCGTTGACTCACACTTGTATGTATATATATATGCAAGAGAAATCGTTTGACACATTCAGTTAGGGGTTTGAAAACTATGTAATAAGATATCGTTAATTAGAGAATACTTGGATATGTCGGACTCTTCGATATCTCTGTTAGAACTGGTTGACGAATCATTGCATGGCACTCACACTACAATCATTGAAACAATTCCATTGGATTTAGCCAATGTTACAAGTGAAGCAGTTTCTCGACTGTTGTCCAAAATTCAGTCTAGAAGATCGGTCGACTCGAGGTTTCATTCAAGAGAAGAAAATCCTGAATTAAATAGACCCAATAAAGCCATTCATGATTTAGAAAAAGGGGCCGATGAAAACGCAGTTAAAAGATCTAAACCTGAGGATGCAAATGGGGAAACTAAGATTGAAAGATTTAGTAATAAGACAAAAAAGATCTGCATTTTTGTTGTAGCTGTGTCAGGCTTCTTGTCGCCTTTATCATCCTTATCATTTTTGCCAGCAATTCCTGAAATGGCTAAAGAATATAATACTACTGGTGAAATTATTAATGTCTCAAGTGCTGTATACTGTGTGTTTATGTCATTATCTCCTTGTGTATTCTCGCCTTTTTCAGATATCTATGGCAGAAGGTTTTCGTTTTTGCTTTGCTCCTGCCTCTTCTCGGTATTCTCTGTCCTAGTAGCAGTTTCACCAAATCTTGCAATGTTTTTCGTTTTTAGATCTTTGACTGCTTTAGTTGGTACTGCTTTCTTGAGTATTGGTGCCCATATTGTAAGTGATTTGTATGTACCCACTGAGAGAGGAGCATATATGAGCATCATCATTATGGGAGCCCAAGTTGGTACTGCATTGGGTAGTGTTGGCGGTGGTGTAATTGTCAACTTTACATCCTGGCGTATTATTTTCTTTGTGTTGGCAGGAATTGGTTTTTCTGTGATGGCAATGGCATTTGTTTTCTTGCCAGAGACATCAGTCGAGACAAAACACCAAATCGTACTTCGAGAAGCTAGAAAAGATAACCCCAAAAAAAAGTTTGTGCTTATTTCCTATAATCCGTATAAAATAATGACAGCATTAAAATATCCAAATTTATCAATTGATGGGTTTATTACAATCTCTTTGATATTCACAATGTATTCATTATTAACACCAATCAGGTATGTTGTCGACCCCAGATTCAATTTGACTTCACCCATATTAAGTGCTCTATTTTACTTACCTCCAGGTATAGGCTATCTAGTAGGAAGCTTATTTGGTGGTAAATGGGCTGACTATACAGTAAAGAAATATATCAAAATCAGAGGTAGAAGAGTCCCTGAGGATAGACTAAGAACTATCCTCATACCCATCGGCATAGTCTATCCAGCTTGCATGCTCATTTACGGTTGGTCTATAGAAAAAGAAAAAGGAGGAATCGCTGTTCCAGTAATTTTCATGTTTATCAGTGGAGTTGCGCAAACATGTATATTTCCGGCTGCTAACACCTATTGTGTAGATTCAATGCCTGAATTGGGAGGTGATGGTATTGGAAGCAGCTACTTCTCTCGTTATATCGCAGCAGCCGTCGCATCAGCAACATGCTTGCGAAGCATTCAAAACATAGGAGTAGGTCGGTCTTGTACAATCAGTGCATTTGTCTTGTGGATAGGAGCCGCCTGCGGAATAGTACTAATTTATTTTGGAGAAAATATGAGAAAGAAAGCTTTGATTAAATACGGTTTGAGAACTCCAGAGAGCTTCAATAATTAGCAGATACGTCATACTATAGAAAATACAATATAACCAGATAATCAAGTTCTCTTTCGAAATTAAATCTTCATTAGAGTAACAAATATTCTTTGTCTTAACCAGAATATATACTAAATAATATTAATTTATTCATTATTGTCATAAAATTGCAAAAAAATGAGAAGCTTACATAGGGGATTGTAGAGTTCTTGCAACTCAGTATTAAAATTCTATTTATCAGTACTATAGAGAGTATGCTTAAAAATATAGAATATATTCATAACCTTTATAATTCAACCAATTTAGAGTTCTCCACCAGATGAAGCCCCAAACATATTTAACAATAAGATTCGTTGCAGGTGTCAAAATATTCAAAATATATTAATTACACAAAGCAGAAAAATTTTCTATGAAAATAATTAGAAGGCTTATCCTATTATTTGAGGTAAATATTAGCCTTCATGAAGACAAGAGATATTTGACAAACCAAATAACACAATCATTTAAAAATAACAGGTAGCTTTTCATTGGTTATAGAGAAAGTGGTCATTTGATCTCATTCTTAGTATCAGTTTTATTTATATTTCGAGCGATTGAGGAATTTCTTGATGAATTGTTGAATTAGGTCCTAATAACAAAAAAAAAAGAGCAAAATGAACAGGGTTAGCAAGTTATGGCATTCATACAAGAGACACCGAGTCCATGGTGATACAGGATTTAAAATCAGAAATGCAATTCATCGGGTTACGGAAGTTCTGTATCCCTATATCAAGGTAGTAATTCCTAATTTCAGAGCGGCCCATTATGCTTATATTTTATTTATGACATTTCTTGGGTCGGTGATCTTCTTTCCTATTCGAAATGTTAGATACATTGATGCATTGTTTTTTACAGGATGTGCAAGTACGCAAGCAGGGCTTAATACTGTGGATTTAAACAAAGTGGCATTATACCAGCAAATTCTAATCTATATCATTACGACTCTTACCACTCCAATATTCATACATGGTTCGTTATTGTTTATAAGATTATATTGGTTTGAAAGGCATTTTGACAACATTAAGGAACGATCAAAATTAAATAACAAGATGAGACGAAACGCGACCTTGGCGGCTAGAACACAATCTCTAGATGCAACGAGGTTAAATACCGAGGTGAATAGAGGATTGGGGTTTAATAACACTCAAAACCTGGGTCGAGAACCTGCAGCTGATGCAGTAAATTTTCCACCTAATTCCAATTCTTCTACCCTGTCTGGGAGCAAAAATTCGAGCGCACCTCAAAATCCGAGTGCCAGCTTAGACAATGTTGATCATATAAGTGAACCAAGTGACTCAGATGTATCATCTGGAGTAGCTCCAGATGATAGGAAAGGTCCAAATGGGATGAAGCGACCAGTAAGTCCCTCCAGGTCACTTGATGGTATTCGATTTGGTAATTTGCCTCAGCCATCAAAAATACGTCAGAAAGAAATTGAACCTTCCGATATGTACATGTCTATTGCTATGCTTCAAGATAATCATAAATCGGAAGGTAAGGATACTGGAGATGAGGACGATGTTTTAATTATCAAGTCACCTAATGAAATTGAGAAAGACAGTCAAAATCCTATTTATACTAAGAAGTCCCAAATCCATTTCAATGTGAATGATAAGCCAATTAAAAAATGGAAGAAAAAGCGGAGGTTTTCTAGAGGAAGACAACCGTGGTCAAAGTTGAAAAAGACATTTTCCAATAGTGGAGTAAGCCCCCGCAAACACGTTCGAAGTTTATCATTTACTCTGTTGAGCAATGAAGATGATGATCAATCTATTGATTCTGAAACCAATAATAGGGCAACTGATACAGATGTTGATGACGATAATGCAGTAATTGACGATGACGACGACGATGATGATGGCGATGATGAAGATGAAGATGAAGACGACGAAGATGAAGACGATGAAGACGAAGATGAAGACGACGAAGATGAAGATGAAGATTATCACGATAGGCAAAGTCGCGATGATGATAATCTTGATATTGAACGAGCACAATCTAATTTAGTAATTCCTTCTTCAGACGCTACAGGTGGAAAAAAGTTCACTAAAAGATCCAACACATTGGACGTCACTCCAGGAGAAGCTAATTCATTTCCCCATTCACCAACTTTTGAAAGAATGATAAAAAGCAAAATAAAGAAGAAGCCAAAGCAAACAAAGAAACATAAATTGAAATACATGAAATCGCCAAGGGTAGGAATAAGTTCCACGGTGTTTTCTCCAAATTATAATAACGATTCAGACTATGATGATTCTGACGATACTGACAACTCTGATGATGAGGAAGATGGAAAGTCACTTCTGAAAGTAATGAGTACAAATTATTTATCATGGGTTCCTACTGTCGGAAGAAATTCGACATTTGTACATCTAAGTGATGAACAAAAGGAAGAATTAGGCGGTGTTGAGTATAGAGCAATCAAATTACTTATCAAGATTATTGTAATCTATTATGTGGGATTTCATATCTTAGCGTTTACCTGCTTATTACCATATATTTTATACCAACCAGGATATAAAGCCGATGTAACTGAGGTAGGTGTGACACCAACCTGGTGGGCATTTTTCACTGCCCAATCAGCATTTAATGATTTGGGGCTTACCTTAACGCCAAATTCTATGCAAAGTTTTGATAAATCTGTTTATGTTATGGTTATCATGGCTTTTTTCATTGTTATTGGAAACACCGGATTTCCAGTCATGTTGAGATTTATTATTTGGATTTTATTCAAATTGTCGAAGCCCATGTCATTATTTAATGAATCATTAGGCTTTTTATTGGATCACCCAAGAAGATGTTTCACCCTTTTATTTCCCTCTGTCCCAACTTGGTGGTTATTTATCATTCTTGTCGTATTAAATGCAGTTGATTTGATTTTATTTATTGTTCTCGATTTAAACAATAAATATTTGGAAAGCATTCCTATAGGCTACCGAGTTATGGACGGATTATTCCAAGCATTTAGTACAAGAACTGCGGGCTTTGCAGTAATTGATTTGTCAGAATTACATCCTGCAATCCAGGTAAGTTACATGTTGATGATGTATATCTCTGTTTTGCCATTAGCCATATCTATCAGAAGAACCAATGTCTACGAAGAACAATCGTTAGGTGTATATTTAAAAAACGACGAAGAAACTGAACCTGATGACAAAACTCCTAGAAATTTTATAGGAACCCATTTAAGAAATCAATTATCCTTTGATTTATGGTTCATTTTTTTGGGACTTTTCATAATTTGCATTGCAGAAGGTCCAAAACTTAACAAGAACAATTATAGGTTCTCGGTTTTCACTATATTATTCGAAATTATTAGTGCATATGGTACTGTTGGTTTATCATTGGGTTATCCTGGTGTCAATGTTTCATTATCGGGAGAATTCACCGTATTATCTAAATTAGTAATGATTGCGATGGTGATCAGAGGCAGACATAGAGGCTTACCTTACGCATTAGATAGAGCTATCATGTTACCAGATGACAATATGCAAAAGCGTGATATTGTTCAAGAGAGTCATGCGATAAGAAGGCATCAAACAATAGAGACAGTAAATAGTACAGATGATGGAAATGCATTTAGAAGAGCATTTACCAGAAGGGCTTCAAGCTTTGGTTTTGACAATAACAACTTTTTGGGAAAAAGAAAATCATCAGTTAGGTCGACTAAACCTCGACCAGAGACTGATCATTACGTTGTTGCTACTGAATCCCACGAAATGGAAGACTTAGCATAATAGCATAAAAATTGTAATAATTAATACTTCTTATTTATTCGAACGACATTGTAGCATGCAGCGATTTTTTTTGCGACATATTTAATCTACCTCTTCGCATGTATTTAAAAAAAAATTCTTTATAATGTGAAGATCATCAGCATACTTTACTACAACGATGATTAGAAAACAAGCTAGAGAAAGAAGAGAATATTTGTACAGAAAGTCTCTTGAGTTACAAGAGTCTAGTTTAACTGAAAAGAGACAGCAATTAAAGGCAGCTTTAGCTTCTGGTAAACCATTATCCAAAGAATTAGCAGAAGACAAAGAATTACAAAAAGACTTCATCTACGACGAAAGTGAACAAACTGAAATAGACGATGAATACCTGGCATTATCTGGTATAAGTGAGCCAAAAGTTTTAATCACCACATCTAGAAATCCGTCTGTTAAGCTTTTACAGTTTTCCAAGGAGATTAAACTTATGTTCCCCAATTCGATCAAATTAAATAGAGGTAATTATGTGATAACTGATTTAGTTGCCACATGTCAGAGAGTTCAAATAAGTGATTTAATAATATTGCATGAGCACAGAGGTATACCAACATCATTAACTATATCACATTTTCCACATGGGCCAAGTATCATTTTTACATTGCACAACGTTAAATTAAGACACGATTTACCAGAGATCGGTAATTCTTCAGAATCGTACCCACATTTGATATTTGAAAACTTCACTAGTGAGTTGGGGAAAAGAGTCGTAAAAATCATGAAGCATTTATTTCCACCTGGAGTTAAAAAGGACTCTTCGAGAGTAATTACATTTATTAATAATGACGATTTCATTTCAGTGAGACATCACATGTATGTCAGAACGAAGGATTCAGTTGAACTAAGTGAAGTGGGTCCTAGATTTGAGATGAGATTATATGAATTAAGATTAGGATTGCTTGATAATAAGGATAGCGAAGTCGAATGGCAATTAAGAAGATTCATCAGAACAGCAAATAGAAAGAATTACTTAGGCTGATATTGTATACTACCCAAAATGCATAATAGGACAGATAATTTTGTTCAACTGTAGATAATTGTAGTGGTAAGCAAAAATTTGGCAACGAATCGCATTAACCAGATGTATAATTATAGTAGTTGCAGTATAGGTCAGTTCAGGTACTCTATATATGTGTATATAGCTGAGGGAAACCGTGTGGTCATTGGTGACTTATCCATGTTTATATCTGGACAGCGACGACATTTGAAAAGTTGTATGTAATACTAATTATTCAAATTAAAATACAAACTAAAATACAATAAAGATACCAAGAAATAAACCGTCAAGGAGACATACACATAAAAAAATTAAAATCAACCACTCTAACATTCTCATATAAATGGAGAAGGCGGATGCCCATTTTAATTACCGTTAATTTCGGTGGTGGATTGTCTTAAGCAATCACCGACCGAGCTTGAGACTAAGCTTTCGTTATCATTATCGAACCTCAAGTTATTTGGTTTCGAGCCTGAAGATATGTTAGAAGAGACTGATTTACGTTTACCCTGAAAATAGTTTTCATGTTCCGAATCAGACGATTCGGGCAGAATTAAAAAATTCTGGTTGGAAAATGATTGGTTGGGCGATGCAGTAGTAAAGGTGTTTTTTGTCGATAACTCTTTCGACAACAAGAATTGACCCGATTTTTTGTAAGGAGGAGGGATCGAGCCAACATGCGATTTTTTCTTAAGGGGGAAAGAATTTTGGGAATATGATTGTTTGAATGAAGGTCTTCTTTGCATTTCTTCGTTGTTGATCATATCAGCATATGAGTAAAAGCTCAAGGAAGACTTAGAAGACGTCAATTTTGGGGGGGAAATAGGTGAGTGGGTCTGTTGTGCAGCCTGAGGCTGGCTCAGCTGGAGCGAATACGTCGAGTTCTTTCTAGAGGTGCCAAATGGTCTGCCAAGCGCCATGTTGAGGCCAATAACAGACGAGTTTCTTCTATTCGAATACACCATCTCGATGTCGTCAAGGTTTGTGTCCTCGTCGCTCAAAATGCTTGTGGTCGCGTCGATAGCCGGTGGAATGAAGTCCTCGTTCTTCAACCCACCCTGCAACGAGAGCGACGAATTGTGAGTGCAGCTTCTCGACCTGTTGGTAGTGCACCTGTTGCACTTTGGTTGTGGATGGCTCTGGTGGAGATCAGTGCACGAGTCCTGGACCGAACGCTCGAAAATGTCGCTGTTCGCCTCGCTGGCCATATCGCTGGCCTCGTCGCCCATCAACATCGGCGAATTCACTGGCGACGACAACTGGTGGTTCTCAATCGACCTATTCGTAGGCGACGTGCTTTCGCCTCCCTTTACCGAAGACTTGCTCGACCCGTTGGACCCCAGTTTGAACGAAAATAGCGAAAGCCCATTTCTGCTTTGATTATGTGATGCCATACTTATATACCGCTGTTGTATGACTTAGATCTTGTTGTTGTGACAATTTAATGTAACAATCAATAATAATCAATACAATCGACTATAATACTTAAAATACTGCTTATCGATTTTAGCGTCAATGTGTGTATTGTATATCTAATCTGCAATCAGCTTCAATATCTTATCACTTTGATAATATACCAATAATCTGATAGTCAAATATATCGGTAAAAATCCTCCAGAAAAATAAAGGGATAATTCCCATATATGTAGATAATCCAATCATTCCCGACTGAGTACTAATTCGAGTATTTTTTATTAGCCCCCCTGCGGCTTTGTGTCATTTTCCACCAAACCACCCAAATCCTCGAACAAGAGCCAACGACAACTACTCCAATAGTCCAGCCGAAGTGGTTGCATAGTTAGTAGCGTTCTTGTGCAAGAGGGAAATAGGCGATTAAACGGCGTACGATTACCTAAGAGGTCATGTTGAGAGGCGGGTAAAGTACGAAGGGAATTGTTTTTGTACAGAAAGGTACAGGAAGATGTACAGAAAGGGACAATCTCTGGGTATGTGTAGGAAAAAATTCAGGTATGTGTAGGATGAGCGTAGTGTGACGGAATGGGCGTCCAGTAAAGACCGGATTGACCAAAATTGTGCGATGCAGACAATCGAGTAATCAAAAAGGTGATTGGTGTTGGTGGAGGTGCGGTCTTGTATATTGTCAACGAGGTCGGATGGTGCGTTTTAGCGATAATCGACAAGAGAAACAATAGCAGTGTGCTGATGGTTACGCAGTGCGAGCAACGCTGATAGTAAAGGGAGGAGCTATTGCGGTATGGTAGTGTATTCACAACAAGAGTGCCGTAGACATCACGCAGGCCCCGCGCAACGGCTGCCAATGGACCAAAGGATGGGGAACTTAGAGAGTAGAACGAGAGAAGCACAAGGATTGAGAAGTAGAGTAGGACTAGAGGACGTCAATAAACTTGTCGTTGATTAGATAGCAGGTGATTTGCCACAGTGTGTGCTTATGGGCATGCAGCATAGGTTTATTGAGGTGAGTAGGGATGGAAGGGGGAAGCTGGGTCGTGTTGAGGAATAGATGGTTGAAATCGGAGTACGTCCCCCACGGCATATGAGGGTTACCCGCCCCGGATTCTGTGTTTATCCGGAACCCGCCTTCACGTGATGGGCGGACCTGTCGGGGTATGAATTTGGTCGCCGGCGGTCATCCAACAGCTCGTGGTTCTAGCAACGAATGCATCGAATAATTTGTGCAAAGTCGAGGGGTGCTCAAATGTGTGAAGGTTGAGGTTGCATTGGGTTTTGAGGCCTTTTGCTGCTTATGTTTGCTCCGTTGCTTGTTGGGTTGTCCTATCTGTCAGTGGCCATGGGCGGTGGCCGACCGCGAGAGCGTTGCGCGAATATCGAACTCACGATATACTTGTAGTGCGCTGCTTTAGTTGTTGTGTAACTTATTGTACGGCAAAGACGAGGCTATACAAAAACTTCTAGACTGTTGGTTGTGAATTAGTTCACAATAGTCTTGTGAATTGTGTGTGTGTTAGTATTATTGCTTAGTATAATGTAAAGTCTTATCAATTTTGTAGCTATTGTAGCAATAATTAGGTTCCTTAATTACCAGAACGAGTATTTGCGGACAAAACCTCACTCTTGTCCATACATACACACCTCGAACGACGCCTGACGACCTGGATTTCATTCCTTCCTAGAACATTCCGTTCCTTAACTTGAGCACGAGGATGTATACAAATCGCTTGCGAACCTACAACTAGATCAAGAAAACCTGGCCAACTGGTAATAAGACCTGGATGAACCAGAAATCGAGGTTTAACAAGGAAAACTCACTCCTGGAAGTCAACTATTTGCATTAGTCTCCGTTCTGTTTGTTTTGTCTGTTTTTCTGTTAGAATGCGTGGTTTGCTTGTGACACTTTTCGCAACCGCATTTTCGAAATTTTTAGAATTTTGCAGTATTTCAAGTAAGTAGCTATATCACTTTACTCACTTGTCCTAGTCATTTTTGTAGAAGGTATACATATTTTTAAAGATTGTCTCGTAAATTGCGTTTATCTATTATTCTAGTATCAATTGATATTGATTACACATTTTACTGTTTAAAATATGTTGTAATCTGTTATAGCTTATGTTTATGAAATTTCTAGCCTAGAATATGTCGGGATCTACAATTTGAGCCAACTTGCAATACTGCTTACAATAATTTTCAACAGAGAAAGTAAAACATACTTTATAGTAATGGTAAAAAATTAACTCAATGAACACTAATAATTGTTATTAATTGACTAAATAAGATCATAAAAATTGCATATACTGCTATAATCCTAGAGGATTCCTCTGAAAGAACTCTTCCAACGTGCTAAGTTTTTCAGGAACTTGCTGCTTCCCCCATTCGGCCTTTTCCTTTGTTTCGGGACCATAGGCATTATATTTATCATTAAATTGGAACATTTCCGTTATCCCCTCAGCAATAGGAGCTGGTAGTTGTTCTTTGAAAGTATTTGCTGGAATTTGTATATAACTTACAGGTTTCCCAGAAACTTCTGTGATTGTCTTTACTAAGGTATCAAACGAATACATACCATTTGACGCATATAGGACTTTCCCATTAAACTTTTCGGGATCATTAAGGATAGCTCCCACAAACTTGCCAGCATCTTTCGTGTCCAAATATGGAATTTCGGTTTCTGGTTTCAAAACATTAAATATCGCATACTTTCCGTCACCTAATGGTTGCGGTTTCAACATCGTTAAAAAGTTTTGCATAAAACCTCCAGGGCAAAAGAATGAGGCTCTAATTGGCAAGCTACGAATGTACTTT